TGATGCCGCTGATTGATGTCATTTTGGACGTCCTCGGGAACGCCTCTCTATTATCTTCAATGGACATTGCCTGTGGGTATTGGAACGTTCCCATGGACCCAGGCAGCGTAAAGAAGACGGTATTCACGAGCCAGTTTGGGATCTATGAGTGGCTAGACATGCCGTTCAACGTCGTTCCGGCTTTCAAACGCCCGATGGATAACGTCCTCGTCGGCCTCAAGCGGAGGACTTGTCTCGTGTATCTCGATGACAGCGTAGTGTTTAGCGACGACTTCCCGACACATCTGATTAACGTGCATCAGATGCTGGGACGCTTCAGAGCCGCTGAGTTTAAGTTAAAGATGAAGAAGTGCCATTGGGGGCGTGACCAAGTGTCGTTCTTAGGCCATATTGTCACGCCTACAAGCATCATGCCGAGCCCTGAAAAGCGGAGGCCGTGATGAAAATCGAGAGAACTCATGCGCTTCATACGATGAGGGCGGTCCTGGGGCTAGCCAGCTACTTTAACCGCTATTAATCGGGCTTTGCGGTCATTGCAGCACCTTTGGAACGCCTGAAACAGAAGGACGTACCGTTTCAATGGAATGAAGACTGCGAAGTGGCGTTCCGACAATTTCAGCGAGCTCTAGTGAAGCCTCTGATACTGGTATACTCCAATTTGGGGGCGCGTTTTAAACCGTTTGTGGACTCGTCGCATCTGGCCGTAGGGGCGTGCCTCATGCAGGAGGTTGACAAGCGCGACAGGGTCATAGCGTATGCCAGTAAGATGCCGGTGGGGTCCCAACGGAACTGGGCTTATAAGACGAGCGGAACTACTGAGATCGAGAGCTGGCAATTGTCTGGGCGACGCGAAAGATTCGGCGTTACCTCCGTCACGCTGAATTTGACCTAAATACCGGTCACCAGGCGCTGACATGGGTTTTTGGTGAAACTACTAAAACGACAAATGCCAATTTGACTCGATGGGCGATGGAATTATCGCAACTGCGGCTCAAGATTTACCACAAGCCGAGGACGTCGATCGGACACGCGGACGACTTGTCACAGTTGTATCATCGACCGGACACTCACGTTGTAGGTGCTATGCGAATGGCTGCCTTTTCAATGAGGATGACGGAGACCCCGCTGCTCCAGATATCGTGAAGGCTCAAGACGTCACGCCCCAGCTATCTGTAACGGCTACCCTGGGTGGCGGAATGCTGAGTTAGAGCGCTCCTCGTGCTCCAATCTCAGTCGGGGAGACCCCTGACACAAGCATTCTAGGTGACACTCCCGCGAACGCCCAACCAGACAGAATTGGCCTCAGGAGTACCGGAGCTTCTTACTCAGAATGAGCAGGAAGACGATTTGCAGGGACGTGCTCCGCGAGCTGATCTGTCTCCGGGTGATGCATTCGGGTTAGACTTCGACAAATTTGTATTGGAGCAAGAATGAGAACCTTGGATGCGTGCCTTGAAACCGTTCCTGAAGGACGGAGCTTTGGCACTCAATCCACAGTTGAGAGTGGGTGAGATCGTTGTAGGTGGATATCTGTTGACGACGATGTTGCTGTCTATCGAGATCTACTTGCCGAGGCTGGTGTATGAAGGTACCGAAGGGGTCTCTGTGGTTGGATGGGCGTGGCTCTGGTAGTGCTGATTGTGGACGTATTCATGGATATTTCTACGTGGGGTTGCTACTGAAATGCCTCCTTGTTAATGGAATTAGTGCTGGTAAGGAAAGAGGACCAAGTGTGATGGCCAAGATGGATGGAAATGGCTCGCTGGACGAATTGAACGACGCGAAGAGCGAGAGCGCGTTAGCTTGGAGCGCTTGCGGGGAATGAAGGATAACGGAACACCTTCTCAGGTCGAGAACATGAGTCCTACTCAGGTTAAAACGCCGCAGGAGGATGTTCCCACTGATGTCGCTGGTGGTATCGTGGAACCCACGTCGGGCAAGATTCTCGGCGGGGACACCGAGCGGTAGTCGGGGAGAACTGTCACGATACACAGCTAGAAGGTGGACTCGCCATTCTCGCGGACTGCGTCCGGAAGATCTGCTTGCTGCAGAAGTCGCAGGCCACGTCCAAGCAACTGTGCCCTCAGGCACAATCGACGCCGCACCAAGCCTGGTGTAGAACGCCTGCCGGTCGACAAGTTTGGGAATCTACGTTGGGCCTCCACGTGGGAGTGATTCACGGGAAGGTTAGACGCCTAGCGCTCGGTTTGGAGCATTGGGTAGAAGCTCAGTCGTGATTTCCCTCCTTCCAAGAGAAGTGCTCAATAATATAACAGCAACTTTACATTTACGTGATTATCCCAAGCTCCTACGTCGGCCTGTTTGATATACGACTCCGACGACAAGAGGATTACCGCGACAAAAACTCCGGTTTCAAAAAGATATCTGTTATTTCTTTATTCGAGTATGCTTGGTTTGTAAAATGAACCAGTGGGCTTTAAGTAACGGGCAACTAAATTCCCAAAATTATGTACTTCACCATAGTTAGTCATGGCATGACTTATTAGAATGAACGGTGTAGTACTCAACAAAGCCAGTTTCATGTTTCATTCCAGCGATCTCTCGGAGGTAACAAAGGTGCCAAATACACATTACTTCGAAGTACATGCTTACAGAATATTTTCTGGTTGCAACAGGACTGAATGGGGGCAATTGTCAGTGAAAGTGATTAGGTTACCGGTACCGGTTTAATAAATTACAGTTGCTAAAAAGTAATGTACCGGTAGCTAGTATTTACAATTAATAAATTCCTGTACAATACTTCGTTCTTCGAAGTACATGTATTTGTTTAGACTGAAGGATTGTGAGGCTTTCCTCCTGATGTTTTGAAGCAGATCAGCGGTTGGCAACAGCCTGTTGCTCTTGCAGAGAACTATCTTTTAGTAAGTGGTCGGAACCATCATCCTAATCCAGGATTAGAAATCCGGGGTCCGTAGCTTTTTAAATTTACCGGTTAACATGGATACCAATTATTGCAAGTACTGTTTAAGGAGTTGATGGTTTTTTTAACTTAAGTACGCCCGATAAATGAAGAAATTGAAGAGCTGTACTTACGTAAGTGCAGATCTGTGTCCGAGAGGAAATGGTATCCGGAATGATAGCTGGAATTGTAGCGAAAACGATTGTTTCAGGCACAATACCGATAGCTGGAATCGTGAGGATTATAAGCACTTCTCCAACGCGTGGAGTACGTTATTTTATAAAATAAATATTTAATCTTTTACACACAATGTCGAATGTTACATATTACAGGTAAAGCTCGACATCGTGTGAAAAGCTTACATGTACCCCGTCAAGTTGACGGCTCAGGGTAGGGATACCTCTACACCCAGACAGGGGATGAGGTTTTGATCAGATTCAACCATGGCTGTGATTGACCGGCTGACAAGCAAACCTCGTTTGCCGGCCCTCGCAATGACATTGCTTCATTTTCCGAGGCGCTAGCTGGCCATGCACATATTTATCCTCTCCGTTTTCTTTCCCTTTGGCCTTGCGCAGAGGACAGACGCCGCATTGAGTTCTTTGAGATCGACGCTGGTGAGCGATGCTCCGTCGATAAAACTTCATGTTTCTTTCAAGCGCAAGAGCATGGAGCTTCACGGACGCTCCGAATTCGATATCTACGCCACGCCCGTTGTGTCTGCCAACGGTGCTGGGATGCTCTACAACAGCTACGCCACGTTCCATGACGACGACTCCGATTTCACGTACTCTGTCGTGGACGGGTCTACCTACCTGACTACAACGGACGGCGATGATGTTGAGACGGTTATTTGTCTTTCGTCCAACACGCTACCGTTCGACGAGATTCTGTAGCAGGGCAGTTATCTCGCTCGCCTGCTGAGCGTGGCGTATGCTCGCGTGCTTGCTGACTGGGCATGTCCAGGTCCGACGAAGGTACTCGTCACGCAAAGATAATCAATACTTATGGGCCCGTTTCACCATGCCGGCACGTACACTTCTGTGTTCGCGTCTATTTATTGATATACTCTCCGTTTGCTCCGTTTCCAGAGTCTTTATGTCCGTCCGTTCTCCTGTGCTATGACTTCACGCATAGTCCGTGGCTCCGTACACGTGCTCGTCCTTCGCGTTCTCGTACGCCGCGACTAAGGGCCCCACGCTAAGCCTTCTCTCAGTTTCACGAACAGAAACCGCTGAACCGGGGCTACTCCTGTCAGACTCCACGTTTCTAGGGGCTCTCGCTAAGCCTTCTCTCAGCTTCAGCACTAGGTCCTCGTGACCCTGGTTACTCCTGCCAGACCCCACGCCTGCTCCGTCGCACTGTCCCGCTAGTCCACACACGCACAGCCTATTGGTAACATTTCCGCCACCGACACCTACTCGCATTGTTCGTGTCCGCCGACACTCTCACTACTGCAGGTCAGCCACTTGCACTTGATTGCAAACTGAGCAGATTGCAAACTGAGCGACTCCAACCGATCGCCCGGCCCGGCACGATCTTCCCGCTGCCCGCCCCTCACCCAACTTCATCATCGCCTACTGACGGCTCGTTTCTGATTGGTCACCCTGAGTCATGGACGCCCACTAATCACTCATTGGTACCCGTCACTCTTCGCTGGCAGCCGGCCGACACTTCGCTGACGTGGGGATCGTGCGTGGCGATCCTCATGTCCGGAACCCACTTCAACTTGCTAACCAGCCGTTCGCCCGTCAATCGCTGACACCTCATTCCGCGCAGGCGCTCCGGCATGCACGGATCCCATACACGCCTTCTTCAAACCCAGGGTCTTCCACGACCCTACCAGATTGACACAGTTCGTCGTATTCAGTGACAGACACCCAGCATGACTCGTCGTTTTCCGTGCGTCTAACTCGCTGTCGTTTCCGTGATCGCAGCTCGTACTCTAGGACATAGTGTCCTGCCGCATTACGCCGTTTACATCGTCGGAGCTCCACCATGCGGCTTGGTACATTCCGGGTACACCTCACCGATGGAACCCTCAGAGCGCACGGGGTGGGCCATTGAACAGTTGGTGCGAATGCTACAGGCGGAGCAGATCAACCCTGTTCCCTATCGACCCCAGATGATTGGTTTGGTAGAGCGATTCCATCGTACGTGGAAGGACTGTGTGGCGACGTACATGCACCGCGACGAACATAACGATTGAGATACGTGGTTCGACTTCGCGGTATACGCGTACAATTCGGGTAAGCATACGACTGTGTCGTTATCACCATACGAGCTGATGATGGGTCGTCGATTGCGACCACCGAACGAACTGCTTCGACAAATGAGCGTCAGTGAAGCGGGTGAGTTAACGGCGTACCACCAGAGACTGTTGACGGCGATGCAAAGTGCACATGCGTGCGCCGAGAAGACAAGGAGGCGTGAACAGAACCGACAGGCTCGCTACTATGTTCGACGAGTAAAAGTTAAGCGGTTGCTCAATGTGGGAGATCGTGTATGGATGTTCCCGTCACCGCGTGGCCGGAAGACTTCCAAATTCGTCCACCAATGGATCGGTCCAATGAGGATCCTTGAGCCGGCGGGATATGAAAATAACTTGGTGAAATGCGAGGACAAGGACGGTGAGGTAGAGGGTTTCTTGCTCATGCCTCATTTTTAGTCAGCTATAAACAACCTACCGATTATCTGGAGAAATTGACACGAGACATTGGCGTGCAATTGGACTATGAAAGCGAAATCGAACAGCGGTGTGATGTCGAGGCGACAAGAGAAACTGCTCGGGCAGAGACGGCTCCTGTTCAGACGGCAACGGCTGCTGCACCTGTCGAACGAGCGAGACGAACAGTGGATAACCAGGTGTCCTGGCGAAGCACGGGTGAGGAACAATACCACATGCTTCATCAAGAACTGGGCAACATTCTCCGCCGTGTGTTTTTCAACCACCGCAGCTACTATGTATCTCGTAACGTATTCTACTGCCGCAATGACGAAACGTTGTAGTAGGTAATGGCCCGGCCACATCTAGTGCCCACCAATTTCCGACGTCGCCGCCTCTGATACTCCGGAGGGGTGGCACCACTTCTGGCGACCTCGCTTTCCTACTGCCACACGCCTGACAGCCGTCCACCGAATGCGTTACCTCGCGCTGTAAGTTAGGCCACCAGTACAGCTGTGCTATTCGACCATAGGTGTGCGTAGCCCGTAGATGTCCAGCCCATACAGAGTCGTGGTTGTTCTTGAATACCCTCGCCCACAGCTCCGGAGGCATCACTACTCAACTCCCTTGGAGTGTGTTGATCACTACCAATCCGTACCGTGTTTCAACGCTCATGCCTTTATACATCGTCGCTTTTACCAGTCGTTGCACTAGTCTGCTGCGTGACTGTACCTCTCGTATCTGTTGGTCAGTGAGCTGCAACGTCGTCTTTTGTAACACCCGTGGCTCGGTCATGCGGGTTCCTTTTCGTCGGTTCTTGCGATCCCCCATCCGCCACTGGTGTCCTCGATATCGGCTCCAAGCCGTCCCCGCCACGTATTGGTCCTACGCCCTTGTTGTGCATCGGATTTCGCCCTGCATCATTCGTCAAGCCTCATCCTTTTGCGGTGTCAAGCGGTCGTGTGTCTGAACTGCCAGCTTCCGCTCTCATTATTGTGCTCACAGCGCGTTGGGATTCGCTTTTTGATGGGTGGCCACTCATTTCATTTCGCAAAACGACACGGAGGACGCAAGTGCTAATGGGAGCCCGGCGACAGACTCGCAGCGAGTGTGATGTCTTCTTGGCAAGGCTGGAGGGGGGGGGGCATCACAGAGAGAGCGCGGCTGAGCGCTGAGCACGAGGCGTATGTAAGGGGCGAGAGAGAGATGGCCGCTGACTTTGGCCCTGATGCCCAGACTGACGAAGTAACGCCCGCACCAAAACCACCGAGAACAACGCCTGCAGCATCTCGCCTGCATTTCCCCCCTCCGTGTCGACCACCAGTAGGAAAGACAGCAAGCTGCATAGCACATGCGAAGAAGGTGCGAAATGGACGCTTGGCCGCTAAGGCAGCAGCGGCGAAGAAGGCGGTGGCGGCTGAGAAGAAGATGGCAGTGGCCGAGAAGAAGAAGGCGGCGAGCACGAAGAAGATGACAAAGCGTCGTGTCGCTAAAACTAGACGCGACGAGAAGCAAGCAAAGGAGAGCAGAGCAATTGCGCGTGCAACAAGTGCTGTTCCTGCTCGGGCAGAAGCGAAGAAGAGTGAGCGTGACCGTGTGGCGGACGAGAAAATACGAGGAGGCCAAGCGCGTGAACAAGCGTTGGCGCAGCCACAAAAGAAGCGGTCAATCGCGGCAGAAAAGCGGAAACGCACTCCAAACCCCGCGGCAAAGACGCAGAAGAGGTCGAAGACTACGCGCCCTTACATCGCCAACGACGGTGTAAGCGACCAAGGTCCAAGTGCAGACAATGATCAGTACGTGTTTGAGAGCAAGTCGTATATTCAACTTGTACCGGTACTGACGATGTGGTATATTATGTGCTGCAGATACATATCACCTGGCAACTCACCACAGCGCGAAAATGCACCCTTACCCTCAAGCTGTGTGGCCAGGTATGTGTGCACTGTATTCAACATGTTTGAGGACATTCATGCTGATTTATACTGCACGTTGTATTGGCAGGTCTCTCAGTATGGATGTTGGAGAAGCTGATTTCAACAACACAGCTGTTGACACTGTTCGCGTTTTTCACGTTTCGGATGAAGACGCATTGAACTCGGATGAAGAAGAGAGCAGCAATTTAGAAGGTTTTGGTACACATAGTTAGTGGAGGGAATCACTGGAGAAGACACCCTCATTGATGAGACTGGGGACGGAGCTGAGGGTGATTGGTTAGACGATGATCCTGACGGCGAATTTGGGGCGAATCTCCTCCGACTGCTGAAGAATCGTTCGCAGAGAGACCTGTTGAAGCCGCGGATTGCTACGGCAAAAGCTCGAGTGTCCAGAGACTGGAAGACAACGATAAGAAATTGAAACAAGATGCCGAACGAGGAGAAGGAGCTACTTGCGATGGATGAAGAAGCGCTGGCAAAGATGCGTGTCGATGGCTGGAACTTTGGTACGTATTTCATGCGTCAAGAAGTTCTATATAGTACGTGTACTGACATCTCATGTTGTATTATACATCTAGATCATTCCACCCAGCCTTTACGAGCCGAAGGATCTTTTGATCTGTTTTCTGGAGATTATGGGCCAACATAAGAAATGCTGGAGCTGGCAGATTCACCGCTGCGTCTGTTTTTTTTCTTCATGCCCCCCCCCCAGCCTGTGGAGACGAATTGCAACGGAGAACAACCGCTACTACAATCAACCGTTGAATGGTCGTGTTGACCGCATAGTTGCTGTGCTACAGGCGCGAGGTGAGGCGGTGACGAGAGAGTAGGTGCTGCTGAGGGAAACAACGCCGCTCAAGCGGATTCAACTCGAGGACGTGGTGCACTGTAGAGGCTTGCTCGCGGCTAGAATGCTGTGTCCTCACAAGCGAAAGTTCGCTGATCATTGGGCTAAGCCTGCTGTTGGTGCTGTGCCTCAAGGCACATTTGTCCCCTACGTGCGAAAAGCTCGATTCGATCGGATTATGCAGAGCTTGCGTTTTACGAGCAACGCTGACCCGCGCGCGGAAACGAATCGCGCTTGGAAAGTGAGATCCGTTGTTGACACGTTGCAAGAAATCTTTCAGCGAGGCTATACAACGCCTCCAGTGGTGTCATTTGATGAAGCAATGATTACGTCAAGGAGCCGCCATATCATCACCCGCCAGTTCGTGAGGGACAAGCCTCACAAGTGGGGGATCAAGTTGTTCATGGCATGTTGTGCTGACACTGCTTACTGTCTTCGGTGCGTTGTCTGCACTACGATTTTTTGCTAACTAGCCCCAGTTGTATAATTACTCATGTTGGCGATCTATATGCTGAATGTACAACGTGCTAGGATCGACGTCTACTGCGGGGCGAATTAGCACTCGGACGAGCTCGGAGGGTTCCCACCAACGCAGTTCTCGGTAGACCCGAACTCAGGCCCTTCCGCCGTCTTGCGGAATCTCCGCTAGGCTCTCCCACCCCGCCAAGACGGTGTGTTCCACGCGGTGGTCACCGACCGAGTTTACACATCTGTGCAACTTGCACTGCAGCTGCTTTCTCGCAATGTGTACCTAGTGAGGACTATCCAGACAAACAAGAAAGGATTTTCGCCTGCTTTGGTCGTCAAAGCGGCCAGCCGTCCTCCAAGAGCTGAACATAGATCCGCAGCGGTTGCAGTATCTAAAAGCTGCCCACAGATAGAAGTCTTACAATGGTGGGATCGCTTTCCGGTCTATTTACTTTCTACCGGAAGCAGCACTGTGATGGAGACTGCAGGAAAGTTTGGCTTTATTTGTTATGACACTTGGGTTCAGCTAAGTTTGTCGTGTGTATTAGGACGTCACGTTCCTGGTGGCCGCAGAATCGCCATTCGCTGTCCGTCCGCGATGCATGATTACCATCGTTGTATGGGTGGGGTGGGCATCCAAGACCAGCTGCGACTGTAGCACTATTCGCTGCAGCAGTCTGTGCGCTTCCGCAAATGCTACAATACCATTTTCCTGGGGCTGGCTGACATAGCAATGGTCGATGTTTTATCGTCTACCGCGAGGTGCGCAAGTGAAAAGGAGAAACTCCTGCTGACCATGCTGAATTTCTAGAAGTGCTACAGACCCAACTACTCCAGACGACTGGTGAAGACTTCGAGGAGGTACATTCAACTTGTTGGGATGTTGACTTGTTGTATGTACTACTTGTGTGACTTGTGTTTTTATTGTGTGATCATAGCTTTTCACCAGGACCCGCAACTCCGACGCGCGTTTCGACATCGATTTCTAGTTCGCACAAACTGTCTCAATTTCCTGAGTAGGTTCGAGTGCGAGAGGGGTTAGGAAGCGGCCTGCAAGGTCTGCTCTATCCGCCGAACTAAAGTTTATCAGCGCAGTGCTACCAGACTCTACTGCGAGGCCTGCAGCAGTGGAAACAAACGGTGAGTTGGTGAATTGACACATTGTCTTTATCGTCTAACACGCTATGTAGTATCTACCTGTGTGATCGAGTGCGACCGAGTCACTCTGTGAGCAACAACTTGACGTGCCGTCAAATATGGCACATCAAGTGGAAGAACGGTGACGAGCGCCCACGTCCTCGTGTCGGGCGAGACATCCAGATGCGTGGCATCGGCAAGAAGCGCCATCGCTGTCCCAAGAGCAGCAATAACAGCGACAACAAGGGGGACTCTGAAGATGATGGCACTACAGGCTCCGACGTGTCTGGGGTGCGGGGAATACAGAATACCGCTGACGTTTCGGAAGCGCAGAAGGCAGAGAATGTTCACGAGACGGCGCTGGAGGGAGGAAATGATAGCGAATGTGGATGAGATGGTTGCTAGCGGGAAGTATTCAATCAAATTGTCCGTGTCACCGCGCAAAGTTGTACCACTTCGCTCGACCTTTGTTCAATTATAATAAAAGAGCCAAAGCACAATGTAGTATATACGCCGTGCATCAAGTCCACAGGGTATTTGACAACGTGTACGGTACAGAGCGTTGCGCAGGATGTGAGCAACTTCACGCAGTTCATAAAACTGTGTCGTACTTATGACAGACAAAACAAATTGTTAGTTAAGGCCAGGAAGGGGGCATTTTTTCGCTTGAGAGCGGGGGGGGGGGGGGTTAAAGGCCGAGACTACCTCGTCGTGGTCCTTATTAGCGCGTCGAACGGCTGCGAGCATCAGGGGTTAATATTACCGAGAAAAAAGTGGTAGTAATATTACCGGTAATACTAGCGTATTTTTGCCCCGATAATACTACTAATATTAGTCAAAACACAGCACGGTAGTAGTAGTAATAGTACTATTACTAATACTCAAAGTACTACTCTGGTACTTTTGAAGCGTCGCGCACCTTGCGCGCGTCTTGCTTCAACCTAACAATCTCGTCCCTGTTGTGCCTCAGCAGTAGCTGCTTCTCCGACCGTCTGCTATCTGTTCTGGTACGAAGCGGCCCCATGATTATCCCCCCTGTGGAAAACACTCGCTCTTGGAAGGCCGAGGATGAGATCTTGCCGAGGTGAATTCGTGCCAGAAGCGCCATCGAAGAGTATAGGCTTTCGCCTTCATCACGGAACCACTGTAGCACATCAACATGTTTGTACAGCCCCAGTAAGGACCAGCACATGCCGTTGCGGCTGTCCGTAGTCATTGCGGAGGACAAATCTTCTTTCTGGATGTCAGGATTTTGGCGTTGGGCAACCTCGAGCCACTCAGGCTCCATCTCCAGCCATTCTCTCATGATACTATCCGCTCTCGCATTGATTTCTGACTCCTTCACCTCTTCTCTGGTCTTGCTCGTTCGAATTGGAGCACCGAGCAGCAGCTCATCTTCATCGTTCCAGCCTGTCGATGACGGAGAGGAAAGGGGGAGATTTAAGTATGGAAGACGACACGCTTTTTCGTACTCAGAAGTAAGTAGCTCACCCACAAGATTGCAGAAGAGTTGGAATTGCCCTTGGAGCAACCGGTCATGTCGGTCGCGACTGAGCATCGGGAAAGCCGGATTGCCTGTTGCGGCGCGCATCATCTCTTCGAATGGCGCCGATCTGCATGCCGGAAACGGTATTCCTTGACTAATTAACCACTTGGAGCTCAGCACGTGCAGCGTCTTTTCATTGGCTTTGAAGAATTGCTGCGGAGACTTCGCGGCAATAGCCACAGCAGATGAACCCGTCATACTAGTTGCCTTAGTAGCCGATGAAGTTGTAGTAGTGTCCACGTTCGAATCAATCGTCAAGTCTAGCACCTCCATAGCTTCAGCTTCAGCGTTAACGAAGTCCGTTTTTGCCTTTTGAGTTGTAGACTGCTCCGCTAGCACTGCCAAAGGGTGGTCAGCATGTTTCGTCTTGATATGGTCCTTGGCATTACTGGTATTCTTCGTGCAGCATAAAGCGTCCTCCCAACTGTAAGGTGTGATTTTTTTTCGGCCTTAAATTTTCTCGCAACAGAGCAGACAAATGTTGCGATACACCTGTACAGACGGCTTCCACGGGTTCCGCTTCGTGTATGGTTTGTCCAAGACGTGAATGAGATCCCAAACCGAATCCGTAGCTCCAATCTTCCTTGAATGTGAAACCGAAAGCGGCACGCCAAGATCCGAGACCGGCGAAGTCGGTGTCGGAGGGAGTACAGTATCTAGACCGCCATCAACACGAATTGTGGTACTCTCCAAAGCCTTGGTCCTTTTTACCTTCGCTGCTGTCTTGCGCCGCTTCACTGGACGCGCAGATACTGCTGTGTCCGATGTGGAGGCGATCTTCAGAGACGGTAAGAAGTCGGAATTAGATCCAGTCCAGATATTAGTCGAAGCCTTAGAAGAATTAGTCACTGGCCTCTTCGAAGAAGCAGCTACGGCTGGTGTAGAGGCACCTGTGCCAGGGTAAACATGCAGCACGCACGACTGGCTGCAAAACCTGCGACTCAGCAGAACGTAAGCGTTGATATTATACAAAAGTTGAATGAAATACCTTTCGTTCAGTGCCGAGCCCTCTCCTTCGAACACTCCAATTGCGCACATGTGATGAGTCGGCTTTCCGCATACGCTGCACGGATCCGTTTTGAGATCAGGACCTTCCTCACAATTGGTAACAGCACAAGGCATCCTCGGTCGCCGTTTCCAGGTCAGTGATGCGGGCAATGGCGAAATCGAGTTCTTTTCAAAAATGGCGAGCTTCTGCGAGCAACGCAGGACAGCCACAGGCTTATAAGATTGCGAAATGAGGGTCTGTTGCTCACTGACTGGCTTCATGGAAAATATTACTCCTCAAAGTAATATAGTACCGACTCAGGTGAGTAATACTACTACAAATTGCTAATACCACACTATGCGGTATTAATAGTATCAAACAGTTTTAGTATTAGTATTACTCTAAAGTAATAGTTTCAAATTACCCTTAACCTCTGGCGAGCATTCGCTGGTAGAAAAAGGCAGCTTCTTCCGCTTGATTGTTGTTACCTATCAAGGTAAACAGTAGCCAATCTGTCGCGTGTTACAGCGGACACGAGGTCCGACCGTGGACTGCGTCGCCACTACATCGACTACTAATCGACATGGATTCCTCGTACTTGGCCTTCAAGTCAAATCATGACTCCCGTGCCATTGCAAAGCACGCGAAATACACCACAACCAGCCCACTAAAGCAGCTCATCGTGCACGTTAACAAATGTAGCCATCTTCGAAACGACGCATCTCATGATTGACCAAAATTCGGCATCGACAAACCGTTTCATTGGCCAAAATCGATTAGAACCGCTGAGCTGGCCTGATCATCACTCTGACGGTAACGAGTGCGGGCATGGCTTCGTGCCCTTCGTGTCGCGCTGGAGCCTCCCCAGGCGTGCTCCTGCTCACAGTGCGGCTTCCGCTTTACTGGCGCCTCCTCCGTCCTCCGTCCTCTCCACTCATGCTGTGGGCAGCTCTGCCACGTCTGCGGGTGTGAGCCGTCGTAATTTCCCCAAAGACCGGAACAAGAAGAAATAACCCAAAGATAAAGACAAAAAACGAGAAAGAAGTAAAGAAAATTGATACAGAACGCGATTAAAGCAAGAGACAGTTGACACCCCACCAGCTGCTGCAGGGTTTGTATGGGTCGAGATAAGACATTAGATTTATCACTTTTTGAAAACAACAAACTGGAGATTCAGTCTGCGGTTTTAAACATTTTATAATACCCTGATTACAGAACTTCAGAGGATTTCGTTTTGTTTGGAATTTACACAAGTAGGATTATTAATAAGCCTAAACTACTGCCGGGTAGGCTAGTACTATTACTACTGTAGTAGTAACTTATATCAGCAACAACTTCGAATTTAGTTGTCGACAACTACAACTGCAGACACTCAAACCACTTCCTTGGTTTCTGTGAATTCTTGAGAATGCCATCACCATTTAGAAATGCCGTATCAGCGTGGTTTAGCTTCGGTCTGTAGAATGTATCCAAGTAGTGATTACCGAAGAGGTTCTCATCAAGGCCACCCAGACAGCTATCGAATTCAACGAGACCGTCGTTCTTCTTGGACTTGTGCGGGATCACCGTTCCCGCCAGGATACACACGGCTTGATACGTCGAGAAGAGTCCGACATAGCTGTCACTGCACATGGCGGCTGTCACATTTTTTCGATACGCTTTTTGCGCTGCCGCATAAGCGGCATCAATAGACGGGGAGCTGAACTCTCCACCCTCGTAAATAGTTGATTTGCGCGCCGTGTTCAAGGGACACTGGCCGACCAAGTCGAAGAGCCACTCTGTAATATCGCTTTTTTCATTATGACATGCACCCATGAGATAGTCCACAGCCATACTGCCAGCCATCGGGGGACTTAGTGACACCCACGAGGTCGTGTCACTGAACCGACACTTCCCCGTAGCCAGAGCGTGAGCCATGACGAGTCCACCCATGGAATGTGTCACAACGATTGTCTTGTCGATGGTCCCAGTAGCGACGTCGCTACTGTCGCTCATGGAGAGAGCATAGTCACAGTATTTGTGCTGCAGTGTGTCGTTTGTCCAACCGGCATCTATAGTATTCACCACAGCGTACTTGATCGTGGAACAGCAAGGAGCGTGGCCGTGCATGTCTCCAAACTTACTTCTCGTTAGCTTCGGGGTGTCCTGTAGCTCCTTGACATCATTGGGGTTGTCTAAACCGTGGAGGAAGATGCATGGACGAGGAGTAGTTGGACATTTTTCACACTGTGTCGACTCCATGGCCATATGCGCCTCTACTTTCAGCTTTCTTGAAGTGGTGGACGGGACCTTGCGACCGGTAGCCAATGCGAGCGCTGTAGGGGTCAACGACGTTGCCTCCTGCACAATTTCGCACGACGAGGATCCTTCCGTCAAGTCCGGCTTTGAGATGCTGACGGGGTCGTCTAGGTACTCCACGTCGATGTCCAAATCACTACTATACGCAGTCAAACCAGCCTCTCCCGACGCACAAATAGCGTAGTGAGATCCAGCAAATGTTGTCTTGAATAGGGTACCACTTTCACATTTGACAGACTTGTCGCCAATCGAGGCACTGGGAATTGGTGTCGCGTCATTGAGAGCAGAGAGAATCTCATCGAACGGTAGCGTGTTGGACGGAAGACAAACAACTGTCTCAACATCATCGGCGTCCGTCGTAGTCAGGTAGGCAGACCCGTCCACGACAGAGTACGTGAACTCGGAGTCGTCGTCATGGAACGTGGCGTAGCTGTTGTAGAGCATCCCAGCACCGTTGGCAGACACAACGGGCGTGGCGTAGATATCGAACTCGGAGCGTCCGTGAGCTCCATGCTCTTACGCTTGAAAGAAACATGAAGTTTTATCGACGGAGCATCGCTCACCAGCGTCGATCTCAAAGAGCTCGATGCGGCGTCTGTCCTCTGCGCGAGGCTAAAGAGAAAGAGAACGGAGAGGATAAATACGTGCATGGCCACGTATTAGAAACTGGCGCCTCGGAAATGAAGCGCCAGCAAAACGAGGAGCCTGTCAATGACTCAGAATCTCATCCCCTGTCTGTATGTACCGGTACAGTGTGCATCCCTACCCTAAGATTTGACATCGTGTGTAAACTTTTCACACCATGTCGAGCTTTACCTGGCTATTATTCCATCCCGGACACAGGTCTGCTCTTACGTAAGTACAGTTCTTTATTTTCTTCATTTATCGGGCGTACTTAAGAATAAAATAAGCATCAACTCCTTATTAGTAATAATTAGTTTCCTTGAAAAGCGATAAATTTAAAAAGCTACGGACCCCGGATTTCTAATCCTGGATTAGGATGATGGTTCCGACCAGTTACTAAAAGATAGAGCTTTGCCAAAGCAACAGGCTGTTGCCAACCGTTCAAAAGAGCAGGAGGAAATTTTCACCATCCTTCAGTCTAAACAAATACTTCGATGAACGAACTTCGTTCGTCGAAGTATTTTAAATACGAAGCCTTCGTTCAACGAATTATTTAGTAAATACTAGCCACCGGTACATTACTTTTTAGCAGCTGCAATTTATTAAACCGGTACATTTCTGGAAGCCTAATCACTTCCACTAACATTCAGTCCTGCTGCAATTCCAGAAATTATACTGTAAGCATGTACATACTTCGAAGTAATGTATATTTGGCACCTTTGTTACCTTCGAGAGATCGCTGGAATGAATACGTCATGTAAAACAGTTCGCCGAGAAGCTTGAGCATGTTTGCTCTGGGGTGGTGCGTCTTTATCGAAGAACAATTGAGGACGGTCATAGCCTGACCTGAATCTTAGATATGGAAGACCTTTTCAGCTTTGTGATGTAGTCTGGACAAAATAAGTATGGACTACGGTAATTGGGGATAAGAGGGGCCCCGTCGTAAAAAAAACATGATCCGTACACCGTTCACTATAGTTATTCGTGCGTCAAAATTAGTGGTGCATTCGCGCTTTAGTGACGTCACAAATCTGGGAGATTCTGAAAACTAATAAATCTTAAACAAATTGTCACGATACACAGCTAGAAAGTGGACTCGCCATTCTCGCGGACTGCTTCCGGAAGATCTGCTTGCTGCAGAAGTCGCAGGCCACGTCCAAGCAACTGTGCCCTCCGGTACAATCGCCGGCGCTCCAAGCCTGGAGTGGAACGCCTGGCGGTCGGCAAGGGCGGAAATCTATGTTGGGCCTCCACGTGGGAGTGATTTACGGGAAGGTAGGAGCCTAGCGCTCGTTTTGGAGCTTTGGGTAGACGCTCAGTCGTGATTCCCTTCTTACAAGAGAAGTGCTCAATAATATAACAGCAACTTTACATTTGCTTGATTATGCTAAGTTCCTACGTCGGCCTGCTAGATAGACGACCCCGACCTAACGAGGATTACCGCGACAAATTGGTGGAGTAGCAAGGTATCTTCAAGCCGAAGAATCGTAGGAACGTAAGCACGGAGTGAGCCACCCCTTGATAACGAACGCCAAGGCGGCGGAAAAAGGAAGTGGGAACGCTTTTAGTGCCCACGGTTCGTCCGGTAAGGGACACGGCGGTGAGACAAGAGAAGAGGGCGGAGGATGGTCGTCTCCACTACTGCCCGAGTCGCTGTTCCAAGCCGAGACCTACGAAGAAGACAAGCGCGCGCGCCAAGAATCACCGGCGGCGACGCACCGGAAGGGACTTGAGTTGGAGGGGGTAGAGGTGTTCCCGCGGTAACTGGAACACCTCGATTCTAGAGTCCGGAGCGACGCTGAAGGAGAAGTGCTTAGCTACGAAGCGGGGGTACTGGAGTTGGTGAAAGGTGTCATGTCTGAACCAGAGATGCCAGACGGCGCGTTACACAGGAGCGACATGCAGTGCTGCCTTAACGTACAAGGATGACATGGTTGCTGTGTTCGGGTCGACCCCGTTTGCGATTGTGGAAACATATAATGCTGGACAATCTTGCGCTGCCGCGGAGCTGTCCGTAATCGAGAGAGAGAGAGCGATGTTGCTCGAAAAGCTGAACCTGCGCGAGGATCTGTTGCGAAAATTGGGAGTGGTCGGGTGTCATCTTAAAGCATTATGCTCCGCAGCCTGGACAGAGTGAGAAGCTGAGGGTACTCGTGTGGGAAGCGCCTCGAGAAGTGAGTTTCTCGTTCGACCCGTCGCGTCCCTCACTGACGCCACTCAGGGATGCTGGAAGTACTATGTAGGCAGCCACCCCGATGAATGTAACTTCGGAAGCAAGGCTTAGAGGGGGTAAGACGGTCACAGGAACAGCTACACACCATTCGGAACGGCCTGGCGGTAAGGCGGTAACGCCAGCTCGATCTGTGGCTACGCCGGCGAGGTCGGTGACTACACCGGCCCGATCAAGAGCAACGCCGGCTCGTTCAATGTCGACGCCTGCCTGATCGATGATGGCGTCGGCAAGATCCATGACCACGCCTGCAAAGTCCGTGTCAACGCCCGCCAAGTTTGTGTCGACACCCGCTCGATCGTTAGTGGCGTCTGCCCGATCTGGAACGCCGTCCAACGAATCGAGATTGCAAGCGCCGGTGGAAGAATTAGTCGAGAGAGTGCTTCGGTAGCTGACGGTGTCTCGTGTATCTAGCGCTGGAACGCCGCGCTCACGAGCTGCGGAGCCAGGAGCACGCTACACGCCTGGGTCGGACAGATTGGAACGCGCGGAGCTGTCGAGTGCTCATCAAATTGAGTACCAGAGACCTCCGATTCCTAAAGCCAGGATGCCAGACAAGACCTTAATGTCAGTTGGAATGCCCTTGGGACCCGTTCCCGCGTATCGAGGCGTACCTCCAAAGAAGATCAGTCCTTACGGGAACGGGATGGTAGGTAGAGCGCCCAGGACGGCACCGCTCTATTCTCAGTATCAGTCAATGACCCAGCCTACTGCCAGGTGGGGCCAGGGTGGAGCACTACCCGCCTGGCATGCAGCTCCCGTAGCACCGACTCATGAGTATCCGGGTCTGCCTACGACAGCGATGCCTCTAGCGGCCGGAGGAGTCTCATCGACGTACATGACAAATCAAGGTCTCGGAGGAAGCGCCGGATCTCAAAAGGCTGAATACCGACGCAAGAGCGTTCTGGAACGCGCAGATAACCCTCGTCGAGCCGTTCTATACGACGGTATCCCGAACGAGTTGCAAAACGCCGTAAAGGTAATCGTTCCATTTTACTCAGCGACGGATACGAACGAGAGAGCGGCTGCTTTCTATCGTTCCTTTTAGAGGTGCACCTATGGAATGGACAGCTAGATGCGATTGGCGGCATTTGAGCAGTACCTCAGAGGTAAAGTGAGTCAGCCGTGGCGGTAAAACAAAAGGATCGACAGTTTTGAGACCCTCGAGTAAAGCTCCTCAGCCGATTTATCTTCCAAAGTCCTGCACAGCTCTAGAACCGCCTCAAGAACGCAAAACGAAGTCGTGGTGAGTCGGTCGAAGAGTGGGGTGATCGTATCTCGACCATGTGCGAGGCCCTGAGCTACCATGAGCCTTACATGAGGTACGGGCGCTTCCTGGACGGCCTGCGCATCAAGCAGATGGAGGCGGGTTAGATGGCAATATGGTAGGGACGTTCGGAGAGGCCTGTGACCTATTAATCTACAAGAATCTGCACATGCCAACCGAGGAGGAGGACGAGTTCGCGGACGATGGAACGCCTGTGACCCGCGCAAACAACGCGAATTCGACGCAGTCGCAGATGTTACAGCAGCTACAGCTAATGAGCCAGTCTATGTAGAAGCAACTACAGAGTGCTGTGGTGCAGCTAGGATACATCAGTGCTGTGGCACCCCCGGCTCAAGGCGTTCCAACCCCGATTGGGAGCGCCTCGTTGACTCAGAACGCTTCGGCTCCGGGGAACGCCCCCGACGAATTTGGGACCGCTGACGATCAGACTTGGGCTGACACCCGCACGACGGAAAGAGAGGTCGTATGTGGTCGCTGTGGACGAGTGGGGTGCGGTCACGAAATATGCCCGAGAGGCAAGCGCGACGCAGCCGGTGTAACGAGCTGGGTCACTTCTCTATGGAGTGCAACTGGACCACACCCTAAGGATCCTATCGGGGCGGTGAGCGCCGTCGTATAGCGTGATTTATCTGCGGTGAGAAGCGCCACACGGTAGCATGGTGCCCTAGCCTGGACTGACCGCGTAGTCTGACGCAGAACGCGACCGCGGGGAGCGCAACAGCGTCATCCGGAACGCCTCAACAATGAAGGGAGCTGGAGGGAAGGGCTGGAAGTGACCCTCCTTCCTCTTGCCTAATGGGCGACACG